CCTCCCCCCATGAAGCGTGTCCGGTATTTTTTTTTAATGTCTACCTGGTAACCCTGAAAATAGAAGGTACAGAAGAGTCTGGCCTGTGTGGGCAGCTGGAGGCAGCAGAGACGGCCTGCCTCCAAGCAGAAGCGAATGTGATAGACATGGCCAGAGAGTACGAAGCTTTGGTGGAGCAGAATGTATGTCTACAGGGGCAAGTGAAAGAGGAGGTGACGAAGCAAGTGGCTCTGGAGGGCACCTGCAGCTGGTGCAAGCTAGGAAACCCTCTTGCCCCTAGGGGGTCATGATTTTAAGGAGGGGATATGTGTGACGAGGCATCTCCCCTGCACTGGCCCTTTAAAGGTTAAAACCCAGCCCTGGGAAAGGGGTGGAGTTGTGGAGCCAGCAGCTGAGGCCACTATGAGCCAATTAGGGCCCAGCTGAGGGCTGTATAAAAAAAGGTGCCCTTCACCCCCCTCCCCTTTACAGTTGGTCGGCCTGGTCCCTGTGGAACATTTTCTAGTGCCTTCCCCACCTCATTCTAAACATCCCAGGCAACAGGGCCTCTTCCTCAAAAAATAACTTTGAAACTTTAGGGTCCTCAGCATCCTTGTCATGCCACTTATTTTATTGGAGATTTTTCTCTCTGAGGTGATCCCAGATCAATGTTAAGGCTGTGAAGGGAGTGCCACAGCGGCAGCTAAAATCAGCGTTTACAATCTAGAAACTCAGGTGCAGGGCTGGCCTCTGCAGCTATAGGAGGAAAATAAAGCCAAGTATAAACGGAGCTGCCCTCCTTTCCCATTCTATGAGCCACTCACAGCTGTTGGCTTTTCAGCTTGGCTCTTGCAGATGAAGGATGCCTGCAGGGCAGCTGCTCCTGTCTTTATAGGGCTCATGAAGAAGCTCCACAAGAAGGCGCTAGGGGATTCTTCTATTTATCTCATATGATGCTAGCAGTTCCAGCCATATTTTGTTAGAGCCCCCTCTCCTCTTGTGCCATGTGCTGCCACTGTCGCGCCTTTTTCCTGTTCATTTTCTTTTACATGTCTCCACTGCTTAATCTGTGCCAGGGCTCAGCCCTCTGGGCTTGCCACAGAGCCCCGCCTGAGCCTTGGCAACCTCCTTCATCGCAAATTAACCCCCGCACACCTCCTTCCCTGGCTGCCATTTGATCTTTTGCCCTTTGGCTGTGTCCTTGCTTCCTTTTGATCTTATTCTTCGTTCACCTGTTTTTCCCCAACTTGTCTCCTTACCCTGCTCCCATAGCTCTGATTCTCCTTCCCTACTTCATCAGTCAGCAGAAGACGCATTTTGCTAATGGGAGCGAGGGAAGGGCATAGCTGCCACCAGGGCCATCCCGAGGGGACCATGGGGGCTGGGGCAGTCATCCCAGTGCCCCAGGTGCTGGTTCTGGATCAACCCCCCACTACAGGCCCTGCCTTGCCTCCGCTCCACCCCTTCCAAAAACCCTGCTCCTGCCCATGCCCTTCATACCTCTCTTCCAAGCAACATGTCCTGGGGGATTATGGAGCCTGGCATGGAAGCAGCAAGGGTCACCCCCTCCATACTCATTGTGGCGGTGAGAGCTGGAGTGGCCCAGGAACCTGCTCCACCCATCATACCACCCTCTCCTAGTTCACTGTGCCCCCGCTTCTCCACAGCAGTGAGAAGTGGAGCACCCTGGAACCAAAGCAAGCGCGCTGCTTTCCACCACCATGGAGAAGCCGTGCACAGTGGGCCAGGAAAGGATAGCTTGGTGGAGCAGAGCCAGCTCCCAGGCTGCTCCAGCTCCTGCCACCCGTGTGGTGAGTGGGGGGGCAACCCCTCTTGTCACCCCCATAATTCCCTGGTCCATCCCATCCATACAACAGTTGGGTGGCTATCATGGGGTCTGGGGGTTCCTGCCCTGATTCCTCCTATGCCATCCAGTGCAGCGCTAAGTGCCATGGGAGCAAAGGAGAGGAATTTAGCACAGAAAGCTAAGCCTGAACCTCTGAGCCGATCACACAGGCAGCTACATCACGTG